ATGCCATTATGAATGTTGATGGTGTATTCTCTGGTCACTATGTTATTGATGGCAGAACACCCTTCTCTCCACCCTTCTTGCAGGAGCCATTATGCAGCATAAGTATTTTCCCATTAATTTTTAGTTAGAGTGGAAGGGAAGGAGGTGGGTAGCGGGTGGAGAGAGAGAGAGAGAGAGAGAGAGAGAGACATCTATGTGAGAGACATCTAGTGGTTGCCTCCTGAATGACTCTGACTGGTCCGGGGATTGAACCTGTGACCCAGGTTCGTGCCTTTGACTGAGAATCAAACCCGTGATCCTTCGGTCTATAGGCTGACACTCTTAACTGCTGAGCCAAACTGGCCAGGGCCAAGCTGTGGATCTTAAGTGTGACGGGAGTCATGGGTGGGCTTAGAACAGGGTAGTGAAGTGACGGTGTAGACAACAGAAAGATCACCGAGTGCTGTGTGCTACAGCAGTGAGGTGCTGGCTGTTCCCAGTGCAATGTCTCAGCAGTTCAGGGGACAGCTGGTCCTGGGGAGTGCGAGAGGGGGAATATCAGCAGAGAAGTAAGAGCACAGGCTCCGGGCCTGTGTCCCAGGCCTGCCTGTCTCAGCCGCCCAGAAGGGGGCACTGTCAGCAGCTTGTGGCCCACAGGCTGGGGTGAAGTCACCCACCCTGTGGACAGCACATTTGTCCTCGGGAGCCACAGCAGGGAGAGAATGTTGCTCCTCCTCGACATATACCCTCAAGGCCAGGGTAGGTCCTGACCACTTAGGAAGTTTCCCTAGCCCTGCCGGTGTGGCTCAGTGGCTGAGCATCAACTGACCCATGCACCAAGTGGTCACCGGTTCAATTCCCGGTCAGGGCACATGCCCAGGTTGTGGACCTGATCCCCAGTTGGGGTCAGGCAGGAGGCAGCCAATCGATGTTTTCTCTCATTGATGATTCTCTCTCTCTCTGCTCCCTTCCTCTCTCTCAAATCAATAAATGAAAAAAAAAAGTTTCCCTAGCTCTGGTGGGTGTCGCTCCATTGGTTGGAGGGTAGTCCTGTGCACCAAAAGGTTGCAGGTTTGATCCCTGATCAGTACGGGAGGCAACTGATCAATGTTTCTCTCTCACATCGATGTTTCTCTCTCTCTCCCTTTCTAAAATCAATGAAAACATGTCTTTGGGTGAAGAGTGAAAACAAAGAAAACATTTCCTTAACCTGGGTTAGAGGACGGAGGCACAGGCCCTGGGGTTCCCCAAAAGTTCCCACCGTGAGTCCCAGTTAACCTGCAGACGACAGCTAATGCCTCTTCCTGCAGTGACCACCCCCACTGCCCAGCACTGGAGATCAGAACCTTAGCCTCTGTCTCTGATACTTGCTGTGACAGAGGTTGACTTGTGGCTACTGGCAGAGTTGAATGAGTTGGCAACCAAACATGAGGCAAATAGACCCACCTAGGGAATTTGAGGAAAGTCTGAGACTCCCAGCATGCACATCAGTTCTACTGAATACATTTTTAGAGTGGGGTCTGGCCATGTGCACTTTTATTTATTTAAAAAATTTTTGCCCTGGCCGGTTTGGCTCAGCGGTGGGAGCCTCGGCCTGCAGACCAGAGTCCTGGGTTCGGTTCTCGCTACGGGCACTAAAACAAACAAACAAAAATAAATAAAAGCTTCCCATAGCTACCAGTTTATAGGAAATGTAAGGGACAGAGGAACATGTGAAATGACACCACAGGATGCAATCAGCAAATTCCAAAACAAAACTAAAGGACAAAGGATGTGATTTTCTTCACAAATAACTGCAAGGAAGAACTTTTTATCAAGACAGCAAAGTAGGTAAATGCTGTGCCCACCTTCCCCTGTACTACATCAAAATTATAACTATAGCCCTGGCCAGTTTTGCTCGGCGGTTAGAGCATCGGCCCGTGGACTGAAGGGTCATGGGTTTGGTTCTGGACAAGGGCATGTATCTGGGTTGTATATTTGATCCCTGGCCCTGGTTGGGGTCATGTGGGGGGCAACCAATCCATGTGTTTCTCTCATACAGATGTTTCTCTCTCCCTGCCTCCCTCCCTCCTCCCTCCCACTCTCTCTAAAAATCAATGGAAAAGTATATTTGGGTGAGGATTAACACATTAAAAAAATTACAACTATAGAACAACCCCTCTTGAGAACCTGAAGACTAGCTAAACAGAAGTCTATATAATTAAGGATGTTCAGAGGAATCCATATAGATACTGGTAGGAGGGTTGGAGATGCAGAAGGGGCAGGCCTCACACTCACAGTGTGGCAGTTAAGAAACAGTGGGGGTTAAAGAAACAATGGTGGCGGGACATTAAGGCTGCATAGGTCCTCCCTCCAGGGTCTCAGTGCCAGGAAGAAAAACCCCTGTAACTTCTGGCTGTGAAAACAGGCAGGGTATGTGGCTGGGTGAGAGTCCCAGGTTCCCCTTAAGGAGCTGGTACCCGGATGTACTCTCTGACAAATCACTTGCTCCGAGCTCCAGCACTGGGGCAGGAGCTTGAAAAGCGCCAGGCACATGGAGGGAGGAACTGCACTGCCTGGCTTCAGAGCGAGGGCTGGAGGCGCAGCTTTCTCCTAGGCAGAAGCCATTGTTTGTGCATTGGCCCTCTCCCCACCCAGCTGGCATACCCATCAATAATTCCTTTAAATGTAAATGGTTTAAATGCTCTGATCAAAAGACTAGTTTCCACAGATACACAAACAGATAAAGAAAAGACGGTATATGTATACAATAGAATATTACTTAGCCATAAAAAAGAATGAAATCTTGTCATCTGGGACAAGATGGATGGACCTAGAAGGTATTATGCTAAGTGACATGTCAGACAGAGAAAGACAGATAATTTCACTTACATGTGGAAACTAAAAAACAAAATAAACAAAATAGAAACCAACTCATAGATACAGGGAGCATTTTGATGTTTCTCAGATGGGAATGGGTCAGAAAGAGAAAGGGATTAAGATGTACAAATTGACAATTATAAAAACAATCACAGGCATGTAAAGTACAGCACAGAGCATACAGTCAATTATATAATAACTATGTATGGTGTCAGATGAGCACTAGAGTTATCAGGGTGATCACTCTGTAAGTTATATTAGTGTCTAATCACTCTGTTGCACACCTGAAACTAATATAATATTGTATATCAACTGTAATTTTTAAAAATTATTGAAGAATAAATAAAAATATTGTTAAGTAAAATAAAGGAATTATTCAAACCTCTTTCTTTTTTTCTTCATCTGAGGACATTTTTGCATTTATCATCAGATAGAGCAGGAAAGAGAGAAGAGGGAAGAGAGAAAGAAACATTGATGTGAGAGAGACACATCAAGTGGCTGCCACCCACACGACCCCAACCAGGGCCGGGGACAAACTGCAACCGAGGTACGTGCTCTCAGTGGGAACTGAACCCGGGACTCTCTGGTCCGCGGGCCAGCACTCTAACTGCTGAGCCAAACTGGCCAGGCTCAAACTCCTCATTCTAAAGCATAATTTCCACCTACTCTCCTCTGCCTGTGCAGTGGCGCTTCTTATCGCCAAGTTGTTTTCCTACTGAAGAGTGGAAAATGATGGGATCTTGTCTAATCAGGTGGACTCGGGCAAAGTCAGCCTGAAAGTGAGTGACCATCGCTGGAAGAAAACAATCTACCTTGAGAATCCAGTGCCACCACGCACTACCCACCCATTCCTTCTACTTGCTGGTAAATGCTGACTTCCTGCAGGCGGCACCGTCTATGACTCACTTTCCTATGTCCCTAGCACTTGGAACCGTAGAGGTTTCCTGAGTGCATTGAATGAACGGGATCCATGACATGTTCCCAAATCAGGAACATCTTGGTGGTGATAAAAATTTTAACAGAGAAGTTCGAGGGCCCTTCACAGGGCTGTCATAGCTCCCAAACTTAGGCAGCTCCAGGTTCTTTGTTTTGAACAAGTTTCAACTATAGATACTACAGTTCGCTATCTCCCTAACACCTCAGAATAATAATTCCTCACCTCTAACTGTGCTTTCCAGCTTCAACGTACTGTTACCTTGTGTTGGCAACCTCCCGGTTCTCATGCCTTGTGTTCCTTCTCTCGAGCGTGGGCTGTGACTCGCTTCTAACAGACTGACTATGGTAAAGCGAGGGAATGTCATTTGAGATTAGTTTACAAAAGGCTCTGGCTTTCACCTTGCTCTCTGAATGCACCTGCTACGTTGTGAGCTGACCAAGGAGCTGTGGGAGGACTTTGATCAATAGCCAGTGAGGAACTGAGGCCCTCAAGCCAACAAAGCACAAGGAACTGAGTCCTGCCCCAAACCACCTGAGCGACTCCGGAAAGCCGGTCAAGCCTTGAGATGACTGCAGCCCTGGCCAACACCTGACCACAGTGTGAGACACTGAGCAAGAGGACCTAGCTAAGCCACACCTAGAATGCTGACCAACAGAAATTGTGAGATAATAAATGTTTGTTTCAAGCTTCTTTGTTTTAAGGTAATTTTTAACACAGCAATAGAGAACCAATACACCCAAGACCAATGAGGCATTACTACATCACAGCCTGAAAACTGTCTAGCAGTCACCTTGGGCAAGTCACTTAACCTGCGAGGGCTCCAGTTCATTTTTTTTTTAAAGCGGGAGGGAGGGAGAGAGAGAGGGAGGAATATTGATGTGAGAGATCACATCAAGTGGTTGCCACCCACACAACCCCAACTGGGGTCGGGGACAAACTGCAACTGAGGGACGTGCCCTTAGTGGGAACCGAACCCGGGACTCTCCGGTCCACAGGCCGACGCTCTAACTGCTGAGCCAAGCCGGCCAGGGCTTCCGTTCATTTTCAGATGGAGAGGCTTCCCCACCTCATAGTTATGATGATACCTGTCTTACAAAAACAGCTTGATACAAACTCAACATAGAAAATTTGATCAGAGAGGAATTTCAATTGAACTTTTCATGATTTATATTCCTTTACATCCCAAACATTTTTAATTAGAAAAAAGGACACATTCAAAATCAGGTAAAAAACATGTTTCCCTTTTAATTCACATTTCCTTCTTGGCTGCTACTTTGGTAACAAGTAGGTCCCCACCTCTCAAGAATATTGCATCTGAATAGGCTGAGACAGAGCCAGAGTGAACACAGGCCCCAAACCAGGGCTTCTGGAATAACAAGAACAGCAAAAAAAACCCAGTTTTTTCTTCATTTACAAATGGATTGTGGATTGGAGGGTCCAAAGCTCCACTTTCTAAAAAGAAAACCTGGGGCTCAATGTAAAAATGGAAACCAAAATGATCAGAAATGAAGGATAGTACATCTCCTCATATACTCTACGTTCAGATGGTTTTTGAGAAATAAGTATCTGATTATCTGGTCTCTTGTATTACAAATGGCCCCATTCCAGCATTTTTAAAGGAAGATGTTTTTGTTTCTATTTCACTTCCCAAATGGGTATAAAATCTACTGAAAAGGAGATAATAATCAGAATAAATCAACTCACTCACAAGAGACACTTCTAGATAATGATTTTTGGTTGCTGAGAGTATTCAGCACATTATTCCAAAGTGGCAAAATTCAGGGTAATCTGAGAACAAACTCAACAGCTACAGTCACTGATAGAATTATGTGAAACATACACACAACCCCATTTTTTTTTCAGTGTATATGTCAAGGGGCCAGACCCCTGATCATCAAAATAAGTTACTTTGTACATTACAGTGCACAGAACAACAGAGGAAAGACACTTTCTTGGAGAGTGACAGAAAGGCATTTTGCAAAAGGTTCATATCACTCTGAGGTGGAAGGCCTGGAGCCCAGCGCTGCAGCATGGCCTTCATTAGCTTGTGCCCTCCTTTACTTTGGTTGCGGTGGCCTCAGTGGGAGCTGTCTTTTCTAAAGGTTCTGCTGGCTTCTTCTCTTCCTCCTCCTCCTCCTCCTCGTCTTGGGGATAGAGGTCGGGGTACTTCTGCATGCATTCCTGCATGGCCCGGAACTGGTCTACACAGTCTGATCCCTTGACATCCTCTGTGCTATAGTGGAAGCAGGAAAAGGCCGACTTGAACTGTTCCCCACAGGGGCCACTGGCCATCCCCCCAAGGCACGGGCAGTTCCAGTTAATGTCTCCATTTGGCAGGATCAATCCTGGAACAGGAAGGTGGGCAAGGAAAATGTGAGATGCTCTCTAAGATTTCAAAAAAAGCAAAACCAAGTCCAGTCCTCCCAGGCCACTTAAGGGGTTAACAGTATGAACTGCTGACTGGCAGGTACTTGCCTGTGGACCTACCTCTTAGACTGGGTTCAAATGCCTGGAGCAAACCCAGCATTCCTGGCTCAGCTGGAGAGAAGCCACCACCATCAACTTTCTCTATGTGCAACACTGATCTATAGTCTAAGCCAAGTCCCAATGCTATGGCTGTGTTCTAAGAACTATCTACTAGAATCCATTTAGTTCAAAGGAGAAGCTTTCACTTGGATGGTCAATGAGAACCTTTTTAAAGCCCAAACACTTTAAGAAGCTGAGGTCTTGACCTCCTCCTTCCAATCTCTGCTCCCCGCCATAGGCGCTGCTCAAGGCCCTCTCCCTCTGCGCCTGGCTCAGGAGCCACACAGTGTGAGGACTGGTAAAACTAGGCTGATCCTCTGTGCTGACTGGGAAAGTTCCCAAGACATGTTTTACAAGAACAAGGCTAGTGGCCTATCGGAGGGGTGTGGTTCCATTCTTGTAAAAATGAAAAACTTGGTGGGAGACTAACCATATTAACCAAACATTGTGTATGTGTTGGGGAGAGGTTGGGGTTTCAGGTGGACTTTCATTTCAATATTCTATAGGCCCCTAATTTTTGAATTTTATCCTTTTTTCTAGCTTTGAACTTTGTCCTCATCTAAACGGTATTTCCCAATTTTCTGAAATGCTTTTAAGATGATGTCTCATCTTCAGCTTTGTGACAGACATGGAGACAAGATTCATATAGAATTCTCTTACGTAAGTCGACTGCAGAGACTGAGAGCACTCTTCAAGAAAGACTCTTAAGTGCCTAGTGAAATCACACATAAATTTCCACTCTAGGGAAATGGCCAGGTCAGGCGCTCTGAGCCAGTGTCCAAAGTCCCAGGCCTAGGTTGAACCCTGTCTCTTAATTCTAGTTTAGGAAGCTTCAGTAATCAACAAATCTGCTGTTTCAGGCTAACAGTGGAGACAGCAAAGGGAACTGGCAGGCAGTTTGCCACTGTTACCAGCGACAGCTGCAATGCACGTTCTCGTGTATTAAGTTATATGTGGTAAATCATGCAATCCTTTCGGCAACCCGCTGCAGGGGGTAGTCCTACTCCTACTTTACACATAAGATTTCTGGGGTTCAGTGGGGTCCACAGGATTCCCAGAACCTATGCTCTGTGCTACACATCTCACCACCTCTCCCAACTTCGCAGGCCACCTCAGCGCTGGAAGCGCTTACAAGTGCTACCCACCCCCTGGATGCGCAACACTGCTAACACACCTGCACACAGTTTCCAAAAGAAATAACAGATTATAGTACAAACATTAAAAGTAATGGTTCAGACCCTGGCTGGGTAGCTCAGTTGGTTAGAGTGTCATGCTGATATGCCATGGTTTTGGGTTCAATACTGGGTCAGGGAACATACAAGCAACCAATGAATGCACAGATCATAGATAAGTGGAACAACAAATCGATGTTTCTCTCTCTCTCAAGTCAATAATAATAAAAAAAGATAGTCATTACAAAAAAAGTAATAGCTCAGGTCTGCAGAAGTCCTTGTATCATTATTTATCAGAGGAAGGTGAGCTAGAACAAAGGAGTGCCTCACAGAACACTATGAAACCAATGTGCACTTCAGAGACACCATGTGCAAACATACTGACCATAGCTTTGGCATGCTAAATTAAACCAAGATGCAGCATGTTTTAAAACTAGCATATTGCAATTGAGAGCTCAGAACCTGGGTCCCAGAGTTCTCTATTTTATATGCTTCTTCACACAATTATTCACAAGAAGGGGTTGCAAAGGCAAATGCCTATTAGGTCCAAGCAGCTATACTGTAAATAACTAGGTAGGAGAAAAAACAAGAGGAATGATAAAGACAGGCAAGAACCAGAGAGAAATGCACAGTCTCAGGGCAGACACATTTAATTTTCATAAAAATACTATGAGGCGCCCTGGCCAGTTTTGCTCAGTGGTTAGAGCGTCGGCCCATGGACCAATGAGTCACGGGTTTGATTCCGGCATGTATCTCAGTTGTGATTCGTCCCTGCCCTGGTTGGGGTCATGCAGGAGGCAACCAGTCGATGTTTCTCGCTCTCTCTACCTTTCTCTCCCTCCCACTCTATCTGAAGATAAATTGAAAAATATCCTTGGGTGAGGATTAAAAAAACAAAACAAAACTATGAGGCAACCCTGCTGGTGTGGCTCAGTGGATTGAGTGTTGTTCCAGGGACTGAGAGGTCCTGGTTCAATTCCCAGTCAGGGCACATAATCGGTTTTTGGACTCGATCCCCAGTGTGGGGCGTAAAGGAGGCAGCTGACTGTTTCTATCTCTCTCCCTAAAAAAAAAAAATCAATAAAAACATATTAAGCCCTGGCCAGTTTGGCTCAGCAGTTCGGAGCGTCGGCCTGTGGACCAGAGAGTCCCAGGTTCGGTTCCCACTACAGGCACATACCAAAATTATATATATATATTAAAAAAAATACTATGAGGCAGACAAAACAAGATCTGCTTTGTCCCACAGGCCCTATAGAGTCTCAATCAATTAAAGAAATGTGCTTAATAAACATGGACCTAATGACAGGCAAAGGGCTAGAATTTACATGTGATTTATTAAAAAAAATTTTTATTAATCCTCACCTGAGGATGTTTTTCCATTGATTTTTTTTTTAGAGAGAGAGTGGCAGGGAGGGAGAGATGAGAGAGAGAGAAAGAGAGAGACTTCGTTTGGTTGCCTCCTGCATGATCCCTACTGGGGTTGGGAACTGAACCTGAAACCCAGGTATGTGCTCTTGACCGAATCAAACACGTGACCCTTCGGTCCTCAGGCCGACACTACCCACTAAGCCAAACTGGCCAGGGCTGATTTATTTTTCTTTATGTGTGATTCAAGATTACTCCTGTAGCTGTCATTCTCAGAAATCTAACTTTGTATAACATCTGCACTAATCCCTGTTCCCAAAAGGGTGCTAGATAATGCCTATTGAGCTTTCCTCTAACCCCTTGGAGCAGTAAGGGTAGTAAAGAAAGTGTCCCACCTAAGCCTATACACTTGAGTTAGCATTTGAAAAATTCCAACCCATACTCTACAGGTGGCTCCTAAAGGTTTTTCAACCATAGTTATCACCAATTAGCACTAGAAGGCTTGTTAGTTACCACCATGGATGTCAGAAAAGACTTCAAACTGGTGAAGTGAGTACTGTTTACGATACTTGGACTATTTCTGAATACTGAACACACACAGCTGCCTTCCACAGGCTGGGTAAGTCCTAATTGAGTCCAACAGTCCAAAGTCTTTGGAGTGATGCCTTAGGCCCAAGTGACCATTAACCGAGTTTGTGTGGAAGTGGTTAGCTGAATCCTGCTGCTAGAACACTGTCCCTATGTGTTAAGTGAACTTTTCCTGCAAGGAGAACCTACAAGGAGAAAGCACCTCAGAGAACAAGGCGTGTGGCTCTTAGGTGCCTGCTTGCTAGTAGTCTGCAGACATGGCAGAATTCAGTCTGAGAACTTGACTGAACAGGGGGATCCGTCACCTTAACCTATCTGAAACTGCTAAAATACACTCATACCCTCCCCCAAATTTAATCACTGGGAAGTATCCAACTGGCAGCTTAAGCCAATGCAAAAACTCCGAAGAAAAAGAGGCAGAAGACTTCAGGAAGGAGAAACTCTCAGGCTCCAGTCCAATGGCCAGGGAAGTGCCTCAGAACGAGGGTCCCAAAACAGCTCCTTGCACCCCTGAGGGACATGGACTCACGTCCTGAAAGATGGTCCATGGCTGAGATGCACACTTGGAAACCCAGCCTTGGCAAGGATAAAATGGGAGAAAATCTTTAAACATTAAACTTTTCCTTCAGTACATGTCTGTGGGTCCCTGGAAGGCCCCATGTCACTCACCATGCTCCTCGTATGGGTCATTGGGATCGTCAGCCACTAGTTCTGCATTGCTTGGAGTTTCATGGTCTTCTTTGGTCACAAATATGATTCGATCCTTCCCTAGTGTTTGGAGGGCAGAGGAAAAAATCTTTCACTCTAGAGCAGTGAATCAGCCCTAACCCCAAAACAGTCAAGTGAACGAAGTTTGAAGACTGTCCCAAGTTGAAACCCAAAGTGAGGTGACCATTGAACTGCCCTCGCTGGGCCAAGTCACTGACTCTGCATGATGCACAGTTTAGCAGCCACTTTTATTGAGTGCCTGTGGCTGGAATGAAAACTACACCAAGTTCTTGGGTGAGGAGGATGATAGCAAACCCTGCCCTGTATCCTCCACGTGGGAGATGAGATGCTCCATCCCACCAAATGCAGCTGCTTTCAGTCCCCAAATTTGCTGACATTCCATTAGTGAAACAAGTCTTTCTTCTTCCTATCAAGAAAGAAGCAGTCCTTGCCCAGGTCAGTTTGGCTCAGCGGTTGGAGTGTTGGCCCGCAGACCAGAGAGGCCCGGGTTCAGTTCCTGCTAAGGGCACGTACCTCAGTTGCAGTTTGTTCTGGGCCCTGGTTGGGGTCGTGTAGGTGGCAACCACTTGATGTGTATCTCTCACATCGATGTTTCTCTCTCTCTTTCCCGCTCCATCTGAAGACAAGTGCAAAAATGTCCTCCGGTGAGGATTAAAAAAAAGAAAGCAGCAGTCCTCCCATGGTGCTGTGACTGTCCATGTTATTTCCCATTAACCTGTGAGCACCTCCTCTCCTCGTCATGTCTCCCCTCCTCCCCAGCGTTCTTTGAGCAGCCAGCATTCAGATAACACTGTGGAATGATGACGGCTTACTAGGCCAGGGGTGCTCGAAATGCCTGCTGCTGAGCACCCCCACCTGACTACACAAGCTGCTCTCACCGTCCTGCTGGTGGGGTGGGGTGGATGGGTGAAGCATGTGGGACAGAAAAAAAAAAGGCCAAAAAACAAGAGGGTCCAAGATGATGATGTAGAAAGCGCCTGAACTCACCTTCCCATGGATGCACTGAGTCTGTAGGTACATGTAGAACAATTTCCTTTTTAAAAAAATGCAGGCTGGCTGAGTGACAACTGCGCATTGGCAAATGAGAAGAAAATCACATCTAAGCAAGCAGGAGAAGCCTAGAGACCCAGACACAATCTCGCCATAAACTCTACCCCACTGTGGTGACCCACAACAGGGAGGGAACTCAAAACTTGGAGTTTCTCCTTGAGGAGTGAAGAGATGGAACCCCACACTGAACATCCCAGCTTTTAAGACACAGGCTTGAGAGATGAGTTCCGCAACATCTAACTTTGAAAGCCAACAGGGCTTGCGTCCCAAGACCCATGCGACTATAGTGATCTGAGAATCTGCCTTTTTTTCTTTCTTTCATCTCACCCAAGGATATTTTTCCATTGATTTTTTAGAGTGGGGAGGGGGGCATCGATGTGAGAGAGACACATGAATTGGTTGCCTCCCACACAACCCTGGCTAAGGCCGGGGATCAAACCTGCAACCTGTCCTTAACTGGAAATCAAACCCACAACCCTTTGGTCTGAGGGCCTACGCTCTAACCACCGAGCCAAACTGGCCAGGCACAAGAAACTGTTCTTATAAGGCCTACCTCAGGGCTCAATTAAGAAGCAACCGATCACACCCAGACTTAAAGAAACATCGATTGGATGCCTCCTGCAAGCCCCTTACTGGGGATTGAGCCTGCAATCCAGACTCGTGCCCTGTCCCGGAATGGAATAGGCAATTTCTCCGGGCATGGGAGGACACCCAGTCAACTGAGCCACACCGGCCAGGGTAAAGCATCTAACTTGATACACACTTCTAGCAGCCTGCTGGAACACTGGGCATGGAGACTGGTGGGTACCATCTTTGTGCTCTCCCTCTGCTATATTCCAGAGCACTAATCTCTCTCACAGGGGAGTTTTTACATGCCTGATGCCCCAATTTCTGCAGCTGCCACCTAGGGGGAGCCTCTTGATCACCTAGCTCCCAGTAGGTGGCAGTGGCAGCTGTGTTCCTGGTCCCATGGAACTGTCATAATCAGAAACTGTCAAACTCAGAAAAAACCTCATGATCCTGTCTGACACCCTGATTTTTGCAATTGCATCAGGGGACATATACATCTATATCACCTAGCTCTGGTGGATAGTGGTGCTTATGTCTGTGGGTCCCACAGGACTGTAACTAATGGAGAAAGAGTTCTTTTTTTTTTTTTAATCCTTACCTGAGGATATTTTTCCATTTATCTTCAGATAGAGTGGGAGGGAGGGAAGGAGGGAGGGAGAGAGGGAGAGGGAGGGGGAGAGAGAGAGAGAGAGAGAGAGAGAGAGAGAGAGAGAGAGAGAGAGAGAGAAATAGTGATGTGAGAGAAATACATCGATTGGCTGCCTCCTGCACGACCCTGACCAGGGCCAGAACCAAGCTGCAACTAAGGTACGTGCTCTTGACCAGAATCAAATCTGTGACTTTTTGGTCTGTGGGCCAGCACTCTAACTGCTGAGCCAAACCGGCCAGGGCGAGAAAGATTTCTTAAATAGATGCTACCCACCCCCGAATACAGCAAGAGGCAGCAGACTTAACTCAGTCTTTCTATGAAGGAGGCCTTTTAGCTAGTCATCATGACTGAGACCTGAGGGGCAGGTTTCTAATTAAACACATCTAGAGCCCTGGCTGGTTTGGCTCAACGGTTAGAGCATCAGTCTGTGGACCAATAAGTCGCAGGTTCGATTCTGGTCAAGGGCATGTACCTTGGTTGTGGTTCATCCCCAGCCCTGGTCAGGATCGTGTGGGAGGCAACCAGGTGATGTGTCTCTCTTGTGTGTTGATGTTTCTCTCTTTCTCTCTCTCTCTCTCTCTCTCTCTCTCTCTCTCTCTCTCTCTCTCTCTCCCTCCCTCCCTCCCTCCCTCCCCTTCACTCCCTCCCTCCCACTCTATCTGAAGATAAATAGAAAAATATCCTCGGGTGAGGCTTAAAAATTAAACAAACAAACAAATCCAGAGGCCGACTGTGATCCTTTTCAGAGACCTCAGAGGGTGGTGCGATCTTCGAGCTCACCCTCTGCCATGCTCCAGAGGGCCAGTGTCTTTAAGGGGATTTTATACATGTCTGTGCCCTGGTTTTTGTGGTTGCCACTCAGGGTAAGCCCTTTGATTGCCTGGCTATTGTGGCTGAGTGGGCTTGTATTCCAGGGTCATGTGGCAATCAAAGAGATTGTTCTTGGCAGGCTACCACCCCCAAGGCACTGCATAGGCAGTGGACTAAGGTACTCCCCTACCACCTACAGTCTTTTCTCTTAAGGAGGCCTCTTTGCTTATCCTGGATTTTGGCACGAGAGGCAGAATTCTGGTACAGCACACATCCAGTAGCTTATGGAGCTGCTTTCAAGAAATGTAGGCTATGGATACCAACTTGGTGCTCTCCCTCTGCTATACTCCACCTTGCCAGTATCACCCAGAAAAGAGCTGTCTGGAGTCCTGATTTTTGCAACCACCACCCAAGGGACACCTCCAGACAGACTGGCTTTGGTAGCTAGTGGGACAACATGTTTATAGTCCCACAGGTCTGTAAATATTTGCATACTTTTAAAAGTTGATGACTGAGTATCTAGCTTCTAGTAAGCCTGAATTTAGGTACTGAGATTTTCCCTTTTTGAGACACTGCCAGTTTTGGCACACCCTTAACTACTAGGAGCTATAAAAATACAATAGGAGCCAGGTCAGTGTGGCTCAGTGGTTGAGTGTCAACCCATGCACCAAGAGGTCACTGGTTTGATTTCCGGTTAGAGCACATGCCCAGGTTGTGGGCCCGATCCCCAGTGAGGGGCATGAAGGAGGCAGCCAATTGATGTTCTCTTTCATTGATGTTTCTATCTCTCTCTCCCTTTCTCTCTCTAAAATCAATAAAGAAATTTTAAAAAAATTCAATAGGCTGCTTGGATAAACCTAAGATTGAGAAAACAAAGAACTGGGGCAGGGTTGAACAAAAAGGTTCATCTCCCACACAAAGCCTCTTCTTTAAGGCTGAGAGAAGTAGTTGTTTCATCTAATGCACAGAAACCAACAAAGAGAGTCAAGCAAAATGAAGAAACAAAGACATACGTTACAAATTAAAAATAGACAAACAGCCCTGACCGGTTTGACTCAGTGGTTGAAGCGTTGGCCTGCGGTCCACAGAGACCCGGGTTCGGTTCCCATTAAGGGCATGTACCTCGGTTGCAGTTTGTCCCCGGCCCTGGTTGGTTGTGCGGGTGGCAGCCACTTGGTGTGTCCCTTTCACTTCGATGTCTGTCTCTCTCTCTCTCTCTCTCTCCCTCCCACTCTATCTGAACAAAAAAATGTCCTTGGGTGAGGATAAAAAAAAAATGTTTTTTAAAAAACAGACAAACAAGCCAACCCCCCCCCCACAGATAAAACTCAGAAAAACAAACAAACAAACCAAACAAACCCCCAAACTTCCCTAATTTGAGGAAGGAAATAGGTATGCAGATCCAGGAAGTCCAGAGAGGTCCAAATAACAGAACCCAAAGTGACCCACACCAAGTCAAATTATAATTAAAATGTCCCAAGTTAAGTTAAAGATAAGGAGAGATTAAAAGTAGTAAGAGAAAAACTTGTTAAGTACAAGAGAACTCTCATAAGACAATCAGCAGATTTTTCAGCAAACTGTGTAGGCCAGAAGGGAGTGGCATGACATCTATATCTATATCTCTATCTATATATAATTTTTTTTACATTTTTTTCTTCATTGATTTTAGAGAGAGAGAGGAAGGGAGAAGGAGAGAGAGACAGAAATATTGATGAGGGAGAACATCGACTAACTGACTCCTGCATGCCTCCCACTGGGGATTTGGCCCACAACCTGGCCATGTGCCCAGATCAGGAATCAAACTGGCAACCGGCATGATATATTCAAAGTGCTGAAAGAAAAATAACTTCCAACCAAAAATACTCTAACCAGCAGTTATCATTCATAAATAAAGGAGAGATAAAGAGTTTTCCAGACAACTAAATGCTAAAGGAGTTCCTCACCACTAAACTGGCCTTAC